CTCTTGAGCACTCCCTTGGCATACTCCTACACTTGTCTTGTTGCTGCTTCCATGAGTACCTGAAGTGCCATATCATCTTCTGGTGCATTAAGTATCTTCACTTAAAGCTCTGTGTAGAACAGACTTTTAAAAACACTCTCAAAGGACCCACTCAGGGAAGGGAGAAAAAATAAATGCCACCATGGTATTAGAAAACAGAAATATTCCTTCTGTTTGTGTGCAGATGTTTAGCTATTTTTCATTTTATTTTTTTGTGTGTGTCAGAATTACTTGCCTGCATACATTGTTCAGACTGTTTGGACTATAAATGAAACTTGAATATAATAGCATTGAATAGACTAAATGGTGTGTTTGTCCATCCTTAGTACCTCTGAATATGATTTTACAGGAGAAAGTAAAAGTGAACTTTCAGTTCTTCCATGTAAGTTGTTCAGCATCTTTTGAAAAGCACATAATGCTTAAAAAATCTTATTGAAATATCTTTCATGCGATCTACATAGGATGAAAATAGCCCGATTTTTTTTAGTCTTTTATTTTTATAAGAACTTTTGAAGATAATGTTTGCAAACTTGGCAAACTGCAGTTATTAAACTGGATGTCTGAGTCACCCGCCTTAGCCTATATGATGTTACGCGTATTTGTAGTCAGTCACATGCACCGCAGCAGCGGAGCAACAAAATTCTATAACCACCATGTGTCTCCTTCCCCCAGCCTTGCTGATGGTTGAGCAGCAGTGATAATTGCATACACTGAGATGTCTGCCCTGTGGTCTCCTTTTCCACCATTTCCCCTCTTGTTTCTCATCCCTTGTAGCCACTTTCCTTCTGTCCAAAATCCTGTGTCCTCCAACCAATGACTTCTCCTTGCCTTGGCCTCTGATTGCATATGAGTTATCTGTGTGCAAAAATGTGTTTCTCTATCTTGTATATAAAATACCTTGATTAGAGTTTTGTTCCCGTTATGTATCATCCAGTAGTTCAGTAAGCAATTGTGGTTTTGGAGCCATGGAAAATAACAATACTCTAGCTTTTTAACCTCATAGATAACGTTCTTGTGCACAGTCTCTTTGGCTTTAAGCCTGCTTTGTATCATTGCAGTCTTTTTTGTAGGTGTGCCAAAAAAAATGTGAAGTGGCACTATATATCCTAGGTACATTTTATTGTTGAGTTGTAAAGGTATAAATGACTTGTGAATATATGAAGTCAGTTTAAGTGTTTTCACTTGAAATAGCTGGTCCAGTTAATGCTTTCTATTATTTACAAACAAAACAAAAACAAATGCACCTTGAATTACTTAGAAATTACTGCAGCAGTAGTCATGTTCACTTTGTACAGTTCAAGTGTTTGTGGATGAAATGAGTTGAATGTTGTACATGTAAGAAAATCATGAAGAGCTGTAGCTGATTTGACTTGTTTAGTTACAAAAATTAATCAGGTGACTAATCTGGCCCACAAGTGCACTATTGTGTCAGTAATATAAATTGCAGAATTTGGTGTACAAAGATCAACAGCTATTTGTTTTCTCATGACAGTGCTCTTGGGTTGGAGCTACACAAACATTCCTGCCTGTTAATGGCTTGCCCTCGTATAGGTGTGTGCTTTGGCCTGCGTTATGTCGTTCATCATTAGTGTTCTTGCAGGAGACTGATTACCTACTTTATAACTCTGTGACTGCATATACTCTTGATTTATTCCTCTTTTTGTGCTATATTCTAATTAATAGAAAGAATTGCACGGTTATCTTTAATGCTACAAGAAAACTCGTTATTCATATTTAGTGTGTTATATAGAAAGTCACTGAGGAAAAACACATTATTTAGCCTGATTTCCAATATCTAGATAAAACATACCAAAGACACAGCAGTACTTTAACCAATGCGTATTTGCCATTTCTTACAAGCTGGTGAACTTTTCTTTTAGTTACATATATTTCATGCTGGATCTTTCTACCTTTCAGAACTTTTCACTATGCTTTATGGAGCTTTTTTACAGTCTGCTACATAAATTGATTTTTTTTTTGTCAGTGTCCCTGGTGCCTTGTCATAAATGTTTAATTGTCTGTTTGTGCTCATCATCATGAAAATGTGGACCTTAGACCTCTCTTCCATTTCTGTTACTCTTATTTCTTGCTTACAGTCCACAACAGCATCACCCCGTTGTCACAGTAATCAGGGTATCTTTGATTATGCTCGAATCAGGGTCCAGGTCTTTACCTTTGGTTTTTCAGTTTCTCCAAAGGCAGATCTGAACTGCAGCAAAACCTGTATCTGCAGTTCAAACATAGCATTGAAATTAAGTAGCAGAGTAATAGCAGTAATGTAGCTGTGGCAGGTTTGAACTGCAGAATCTGTCCAGGGAGCGCAGTAGATTTGGGAGCAGCTAGATCCTGGCCAAAACCTGTGGCATACAATGTACAGTGCTATGCGTACCAGGGAAGCTGATTTAAAGTTGGAATGAGCTAGTATCAACCTGGGGTGTGAATGTCTCCATTAAATATCTTTATTTTCCTTTTTTTTTCCACAGATAAAGCCCATGTTCTGTCCTAATTACAGTTGTTTAGAAAAGCATTGCCTCTGACATATATCTCTGGAGGCCACAGATATATTTGCTATCAGGTTCTCGTGTGTTTTTGTTGATGTACACAGTGTTGTTTTTATTTTTTTAATCAAATTTGTCTTCATGTTTTTGAATGATACAAGTGTATAGGACAGCTATGCGGCAATCTGACTTCTGGAAGCCTGCCCGGGCACTGGCTGCCCCAAAGTCTGGGGCCTGGGGCCTTGGCTGCAGTGACTTTGCCCTTGCAGCCGCTGCAGGAGGAGCCTGGCTTAGACCTAGCCTTGGTAGAACCTGCTGAGCACAAGCTTTGCACTGCCTGTGACAAACGGCATAAACCTGAAACGCTTTCAGCATCCTTTCAGCATTTTAGGGCAAGGGGTAACGGGTACAAACTGAACCCCAGGCAGTTCCACCTCCATGTGAGGAAGAACTTCTTTG